GGGAGTCCCCATTACCTGTAAAGCGCTTTGAGTGGAGTGTCCAGAAAAAGCGCTATATAAGTGTAATAATTATTATTATTATTATTACCTCTCTGGGCTGGGCCCGGGACCTGGAATGGGACGGACCCAAGCGCATGTGGTTGAAATGCACCTGGCCGGGCAGCAGATGGCGCTGTTCACTCAGTTTAGGAAATTATAAAAACACCCAAAACGGTGATCGGGGGACCCGGAGACCCGCGACACGGGCGGAGGGAGTACCTTTCGTTAGAGACCTTAAACCAGGTCTCATTCCACACCAACGACCCCATTATGCTTTTATCGAGAGCAGAGGTGTTAACTCCAGTGTCAGGTGAAATGTTCAAATTCAGTCCTACCTAAAAGTGCTGTACTGGTAATGGGGGCTCCCCTCCACCAGTGTGCAGCCCCCACCTATAGGATGTGATGTACGCTCCCCACACACCAGCTCTCAGTGGGGAGGAGAACAGTGATGAAGCCAGTTCAGAGAGGGGGGTTATTAGGAGGCCATGATTGGTAAAGGCCAGGGGGAAATTAGCTTAATTGTATTAAAAACTCTTTCACCTCTCCAAGGTCCACCCGCCGTCTCTCCCTTGAAAAACGGAGATCAAATTCAGCGACTTACTGGCACAGCCGATGGATTACAGCGACGCCAAAGCAATCACGATTAGCACAACATTACAGCAAAAACATATTCATATTAGCACAGTCTGACTTTCCAATTACACTCATATTTTGAGATAGACTACCTTAATATTGTATATTGTATATTGTATTTAATATTCGAATAGGCTACCTTTTATGTGTGTTAACATGTAAATATATATTTAGTCAATTGAATATAAAAAATACTTTCGCCTTTTACATATTTAAAAAGATTTCACGCGGATGAGCTCAAGTAGTCATACAAGCTATTGAAGACAGTAAGAAAGACACTAAGAAGACAAGAAGAAAGTCGCAATTTCCACTTTCTATAAACTATTAAGCGCCATCTGATGTGATTTTTGCTTTAGCATTAAAACAGCTCTACGTATGCAAAGAATTATAACTAAGTAGGGGTTACCAAGACTGAAAAAAAGACTGAAACCACAACCGCTCACCGACAGACACCTGAAAATCACACACATACAGTGAAAATGGTCTCACATACTGTATGCCCGTACAAAACGCGCTGACGTGAAACGCGCAAGAGCGCCTTCGACGCGCAAAATCGACAGAATACTCCCTCCCCTCCGTCTTCAGAGTCGATAACCTGCTCCCTCCTCTAATGAAGCATCACGGATTACCCACTGGCTGAGGGGGTAAGAGAGGAAGCCGGCCGGCGTCTGTGGAGCCGAGACAGCGACGCGAAACGAGAGACCCGAGCGAGATCCTGAGAAGCCGCCGCGGCCGGCCCCTGGTGAGCTGAAGGCGGCGAGCCGGCCGAGACAATGACCGCAAGACCCGGCTTCTACAGGCAGGAGCTCAACAAGACCGTATGGGAAGTCCCAGAGCGGTACCAGAACCTCACGCCCGTGGGCTCGGGGGCCTACGGTTCGGTATGGTAAGTGAGGAAACCGGAGGTGAGGGGGCAGGTGCGCAGGGGGGTATCTAGGGTTGGGGCTTTGTGCAGAGAAACACGGTATAAGCATAGTAGTAAATAACAACTATCATTATTCTCGTCACAATCCGGTATCGTCGCATTCCAAGAAAGGGCTTTTCATTGGTCACGATGGAGTTGAATACGAACGGTTTAAATCAAACGGCGGCGGGCGGCAGCCTCCCCTCCACAGAGGGGTGCCCCACGGGCGGCGGCAGCAGCAGGTGACGCCCGCTTGCTGGGCGTGGGGGTGGCGTGGAGGTGTGTTGCGCGGCCCGGGGGGAAGCCAGGCAGCCCGCTAACGCAGTGAGGAGGCGCACGGTGGGGGGGCAGGGCTCGGACCCGCGCCCGGGATGACCAGGGG